TAAATAAATATATATAGGACACAAAAAATAATGAAGTAATCATTAGTCTAGAAAATAATGAAGGAAAAATAAGTAATGTTTTAATAATACAAAATAATGAATGAAAAATTAATGTTTTAATAATAATAATTATAATTAATATTTATTAATATTTTATTATTGTTTATGCAAAGTTGTTTTGTGACTTAAATGATTTTATGACAGGTACAGATTATTGTTATGTTTAAGTCTCCAATAACTAATATGCAGAACTGATGTTAAATTACTGTTACATTTCTAGATACAATAGTAAATTAATAACAATCAGACTGCAACAATGAAACAAAACTATAATACTATGCTCATTATGGATATTAAAATTAATAATAATAAGAAAAATATTACTATTACAAATCACAAAGCAATAATACAAAGTGCATTATTAATATTTTAATAACAATGCATTATGATTGTTATTATTATTATTATTATTAGTTGTAGTAGTAGTAGTAGTTATAATTAAATATCCATAATGTATTTTCTGTATTATTGCAATTATGGATTATTGATATATTAACAGAATAATAATAACAATTAGTTAAAAAGCAATCAAAATCAACAAAAGAGCAATGATATACAAGTGCTATAACAAGTCTCAGTTACCTCAACGCAGTACACGTAGCAAGGTTTTTTTTAATTATATAATAAATAAAAAGAAAAAAGATAAAATGGAAAAAGAATAGAGCAAGCTAGTGTTAGAGGCCTTTTTTTTGCTTTTTGTTAATTGTATAATAAATAAAAAGAAAACAGATAGAATACAAAAAGAATAGAGAAGCTAGTGTTAGCTACTGGTAGCCAGTGCAAATTGATAAACAGAGGTGTGACGTGCCATCTTTTCGGCTTGTTAAAAATTAATCTTGCTGCCGCGTTTTATTATTATTAAAATGTCCACAATGTATGTTGTTTTATTGTTTTGTCATTTGTAATGATTTGTTTGTTGTTGATAATAATAATAAAAATAATGATGATGATAATGATGATAATTATTGTTATCGACAATGGTGATGGTGATGACTAAAAATCATGAAATTTTCCTTTATCCATTACAGATGATTGCCCCTCCTGAGCGTAAATACTCTGTCTGGATCGGCGGCTCCATCTTAGCTTCCCTGTCCACTTTCCAGCAGATGTGGATCAGCAAAGATGAGTACGAGGAGGCCGGACCCTCCATTGTCCACAGGAAGTGCTTCTAAATCCCTCCTTTTTCATTCTCCTCTGTCCTGGACTCTCCTTCTAGCCTTTGCACCATGTCACGTTTGTTTCAAGTTCCCCTGTACAAGGATTCACCTCTACAGCCACAATGAATTGTTCAATAAATACATTTACATATTTTCAATAAATTTCTCTTTGTATTTATAAGCACTTGCTTAGACACAAATTGACAGTACGTTCTTCAGCTTTCAGGTTTGAGATCATTCTTCAGCAAGGCCACCGGATGGCAGACTGCTGCTGCTGCTGACCATGAAACACCCTTGAGATCATTGTACTAACTTGGTTAAGAATTTATGCTAAATAACTTGCATCAAACCTGCTTATAACCACATTATGATGTAATTTGATCATCCGAACCAAAACGCCCATTTAATCTAACAATAATGCAGATTTGATCCTGCCCTTTAAGGGTTTTACTGTGATCATCAATAGCCCTAAATATATGATGACGATAAGAAAACAGGTCAGTTTAATGTAGGCCAGATGCACAGCTGATACTTTCTGGCTGAGCAACAGAATAGTACACTGTGTCTCACAGCTGAAACCCACCAATCTAGGGCAAAAATATTGCAGGTAAAGAATACTATTGCAGTAGCATCTATTATTGAATCTGTGTGAAAACAGTTTGTTTTAAAACTTTATTTAAATACTCTTCAAATCCCTCTAGAAGCATCCTGTTACATATTATTCATCTGTAGTCTGCTTTTGAGACAAAAAATCCAGAAATGAAGCATAAAATGTTTCAAACGCTGCCTCCTTAAAGGAATATTTTACCCATAAATGACAATCTGATGAAAATTTATTCATCCTCAGGCCTTCCAAGATGTAGATGAGTTTGTTTCTTCATCAGAACAGATTTGGAGAAATTTAGCATTACATCACTTGCTCACCAATGAATCCTCTTTAGTGAATGGGTGCCGTCAGAATGAGAGTTTAAACAGCTGATAAAAAAATCACAATAATCCACAAGTGATCCACACGATTCCAGTCCATCAATTAACATCTTGTGAAGTAAAAAGCTGCGTGTTTGTAAGAAACAGATCCATCATTAGGGTGTTTAACTTTAAAATTGTTACTTCTGGCTAAAATTTGGGCTCTTATTTGGACTCTCATTCTGACGGCACCCATTCACTGTAGAGGATCTGTTTTCTTCATTTTTTGTGTGAACTATTCCTTTAAAGGGATAGTCCATCCAAAAAGATTTGGACTGTTTGACTTTGTTCTGCAGAACACAAAAGAAATTTTTTTTTTTAAATAAGATTTTTAATATGTATTTTTGTCCATAAAATAAAAGTTAATGGGGTCCAAAATAAAGCTAGACCCCAATGTTCTTCAAAATATCTTCTTTTGTGTTCAGCAGAAAAAAAGAAATTCATACAGGTTTGGAACGACATAAGGGTGAGTGAATGGCTCCCGTCTATGTACCGTATCACCTCGAGTTTCTAATTATAACACGGAGACCCAGTTTTGTGGGTTCTGGACGATGTGGGTTGTAAAGGGTGTACAGTAGGAGAGGGTTAAGAAGCCAGACTTATTACTGCAGACACTGCCCCACTTCTGACTGACGGAGAAATCAAAGACAAATGAAGGTGGAGACATCTAGGAGGTTACAGTGATTAATGCATCTAGACAACAAGAGAAAGAGAGAGAAATAGAGAGAGGGAGGGGAAGAAAAAGAAAAAGAAAAAGAGAGCAGGCTCAGATCCATTATGAAATCTATTCATGCCTATTAAAATCTTATTTCGCTGCTCCTTTATTTCGCACACAATGCAGCACATTCATTACTAGTGAAGAACATTGCAATCTTCTAGTGTTTGGCTCAGGTTCGGAAGTGCTGCTCAATAGCCCACCGTGTGTATGATTACTGATACAGACCAAACTTTCTGATTGTATGTATTGATTAAATGCAAGTGTTTGCTAATTAATCCCTTCCCACACAGCAGTGGATCTGTCATGCTGAGAGGAGGCAGATATCAGTCCTGCCACTTTAGATTTTCAGCTCCTACATATGATAAACTTCTTGCAGTATACATTATAGCTATCTATTATACATTGTACATTCTTTCTTTCTTTCTATCTATCTATCTATCTATCTATCTATCTATCTATCTATCTATCTATCTATCTATCTATCCATCCATCTCTTATCTACAGTATCTCTCTCTCTCTCTCTCTCTCTGTCTGTCTGTCTGTCTTTCTGTTTGTTTGTCTGTCTGTCTGTCTGTCTATCACTACATATCTGTCTGTCTGTCTGTCACTACATATCTGTCTGTCTGTCTGTCTGTCTGTTCATCACTACATATCTGTCTGTCTGTCTGTCTGTCTGTCTGTCTGTCACTACATATCTGTCTGTCTGTCTGTCTGTCTGTCTATCACTACATATCTGTCTGTCTGTCTGTCACTACATATCTGTCTGTCTGTCTGTCTGTCTGTTCATCACTACATATCTGTCTGTCTGTCTGTCTGTCTGTCACTACATATCTGTCTGTCTGTCTGTCTGTCTGTCTATCACTACATATCTGTCTGTCTGTCTGTCTGTCTGTCTATCTATTTTTAAGTTTATCAGAGTCAACCTTCAGGAGAGGGAGTGTGCAAAAATGACTTTGACAGACTTGGCGACTGTACTGGTATCAGAAGGGACATGTAAAATGATCATCTATTGTCTATTTTAGGTACAATACTAAAATATTTACATGAACGATCATGAAATAATAATTTTAAAACAAACGTATAATTTATTCAAATGTCTTTTTTTAAAACTCGTAAATGCTACAAACCCCCAATTCAATCGTTGTTGTCCCAGAAGCTGGTGCGCTCGGGGACTGTGGCCCCGCCTGCATTAGTAAACCCCTCTAGTGCTGGATCCGCTGGTCAGAAGAGCCCCTGAATCCAGCGCTAACATTTTCTGCCTCGCCTTGCGTGTGCTGCGCTCTCGGGTCGATGTTGCGCATTTAACACTGACCACACATGCGGAATACACAGTCATCTTCCCCCGAAGAAGTACTAAAGGGGTCACTCCCATCTCTGTTCGGACTACTCGACAAACGCGAGCGATTCTACGGAGATTTCTATTCCTTTGGACAAAGCATAAAGAACCAAAGAAAGGGAAAAGTGCGCTGAATGCTGTAAGTACGCACCTTTGTTCTTTCTCCACTACGCGTCCGTTTTGTCCCTGCAGTTTTATCATTACCGAATGCAGTATTCATTATAGGTTTATTGACTTTAAAGGCAAAGATGAGGAACTTCTAAGTTTGTATTGTCGGACAGAGTCCAATAATTGACGAGCTGTGATGCTGGAGATGTGAGGCTGGTGACGGACAAGCTTGGCAACTTCTCCTGTATCTCAGACAGTATAGAGTAGACAGATCAAACGCGTTTTGTAATGCTGTGCTGCTTCTATAGTCAACGCATGGGGTGTATAGAATCTGAAAAAGATGTTTAGACATAAATATTAATTTGGACTTGAAAAATCAGTGATTTCCTTCTGTGAGATCGATCATTAAAAGGTTGGTTTAATGATCTCTGTATTACGGGGAAGCACAAACGACCCCCAAAGTTTAGAGACCTTTATATACAAGAAGGAGAGAGGAAAAAACCTCTTGACAAAAACATGTGATGTGAAGCCTATCTAATCAGTAAGATTTGTTGAGAAATATTCATTTGATAACATCTTACCATTTTGTAACAAAGGTTTTAGTGCTATGAAGAAGCTTATGCTAAGACACGGATTGGTCAACCGGAAAACGTTTTTAAACAGCTGATACCACTATAGTGGCCGATATATAGCCTATGTGATAAGTATGGATGGCTATAATGTAAAGTCATGGATAATTATGAGGAGGTTTATTTTGCAACATTGGCCATCTGACTGTACATTATGTCTTAAAATACGGCTTAATAAATATGAAACACTGAATTTATATTAATATGAAATAGTGATTTGCTTTTGTGTTGTATTACTTAAGGACGAAAGAGGGGCAGCTATGAAACATAAGATGAGGTCAGATATACAGCGTTGCCATGGGCAACGGTCATTATTGGGAAATATATGAGGACTGAACAACCAAGAATCAATTCTTCCAGAGAGCCAATTGAATTATAGCAACTGAGTTTTACACAAGTACCTTGAAATTAATTTTCCTCAAAAATTAACTAAAAGTATTTGAAAAAATGATAAATTTTACATGTAGATATTGGCAAAGTGGCCAAATTTTGGCTGATTTATCAGTTTAGCCATTAGATCAGTCTTTAACTAACACAAATAAACACATTTTGAGGAAGAATAGTGATTCAAAGTGATATCAAAATCCAATGGATTGGTCTATAACTAATGGAGATAAACACATATGCAGGAAGACAAGTGATGCAAAATGGAAAGCAGTAGACTATAGTGGTTATTTTTCTGCATATACTTGGAAACACACTGTTTATTAAAGAAAACAAAACCCCAAAAATTATGTTTGTAAAATTCATCGCTTAAGTGTCTCCCTTGGGACTTAAAATCCTCCAGGAGATTTGACAATAATTTATGTGCCTCTTAAAAGAGTTTTTAGGTCAGCATTATTCAGACACGCCACATTATGCGCAGATTCAGGTTTTCTCCCATCCACTGCTTGGGTACTGCTGGTCTCATGGGCTTTCCAACCTGCGACTCCATAGCAACGGAAAAGACCGATTCCACTAGTGACACTTCTCAGGGCCGCCAGAGCCACAATCCGTTGTATCTTCCTTGATAAGTATCAGGAGACTTGAAAAGACATCTTGCCCTAACTCAGCGTCCAGTGGCTTTCTCAGTGTGTTCAGCGATTGTTCCGGTTTCAAAATGTTTCCTGAGTCCAGATTTGTTGACATGAAAGCAAATCTCATGATGAAAATTTATCTTTGGTTATCTATCTTCAGAAACTGTATAGAGGCTAAGCTTAGGACTACAGGAGATGTGAGAAGACAGGAAATCCACCCCAGCTTTCAAGTTGACGTACACTGACTGCTCCGTTCAGCAAATTCTGCCTTTGCTGCTACCATCTTAGCCTACCGTACTTCAGCAACATGTCAAGATGTGATTTTCCTCTCAAGAGTCCTAATAAATACATCCGAGCTCTCTTTTCATTTCTGTGGCATTCAGTGGGGCTTTTGACCAATGTGCGATATTCAAAACACAATGAGTTTGATTGCTGTTGTGATTGAGGATAAAAGATTCCAGGCAGATTGCCTCCAGAAAACGGTAATTAGAAGACAAACAACATTATAAGCATTGTAAGGCATCTTCAGCGCGCCAGTCAAGGGTTCTGCTTATAACAAATAGGAGCCACAGCTGTGCGGCTGTGGTGATCTATCCATTACGGGGATGGGGTTGGAAGCGCTCTGTTATCCTGTGTCCCACTGAGATAAGAAGCAGAGAGGAGGATTTTAGCAGACTGGATTTGCAGCCACACACTGTCCACTTCAGGCTTCTAAGCGATTTATGTACACAAGCAGGCCCAATAGATGATTCCAGGACTCCGTCTGTGACTGTCTGTAGGGTTTATAGCAGCTACAGTGTTGGAGAGTAACTAACTAAAAGTAGTAGACATATAAGTGTTCAAGTACAAGCTACTCTTTCCACGTCTGTGCTGAAGGAATTATCAAATATATTCACCCAAACAGTTCTTTCTCTCTCACTATCTCACACTGTGTGCAGCATTTGGAAGTCCAATTTATTCTAGTGAATCGGTTCATTTTAAATGGTCACGTCTCTCATCAAAGTCAAATACATTTCAGTGAGTCAGTTCATCCTAAACGGTCCTCAAGTAGTGTTTCAAATTCCAATTCATTCTATTGAATCGGTTCTTCCTAAATAGCTCTTTCTCTGTAGCTTTTGAAAGTTTGATTCATTCTAGTGAACCGGTTCGTCCTAAATGGTCCTTTTCACAAATGTGACCCTGGACCACAAAACCAGTCATAAGTAGCACGGGTAGCCTATATCTGTAGCAATAGCCAACAATACATTGTGTGGGTCAAAATGATTGATTTTTCTTTTATGCCAAAAATCATTAGGATAATAAGTAAAGATCATGTTCCATGAAGATATTTTGTAAGTTTCCTACCGTAAATATATAAAAACGTAATTTTCGATTAGTAATATGCATTGCTAAGAACTTCATTTGGGCGATTTTCTCAATATTTAGATTTTTTTTTGCACCCTCAGATTCCAGACTTTCAAATAGTTGTATCTCAGCCAAATATTGTCCTATCCTAACAAACCATACATCAATGGAAAGCTTATTTATTCAGCTTTCAGATATATAAATATATAAATGATATATATATATATATATATATATATATATATATATAGCTTTCAGATGATATATAAATCTCAATTTCAAAAAATGAACCCTTATGACTGGTTTTGTGGTCCAGGGTCACATATAGCCTAGTATGTGGCGTTTGAAACCCTGCTGAAAAATCCAACCTGGTCATAGTTGGTCAACAGGCTGGTTTTACCTGTTTTTTTCAGGGAAGTCAGATTCATTCAAGGGAATCGGTTCATCCTAAATGGCCCCTTCTCTCATATGTAGCGTTTGAAAGTCCAATTCATTCTATTGAATCGGTTCTTCCTAAATAGCTATTTCTCTCATATGTAGATTTTGAAAATATGATTCATTCTAGTGAACTGGTTCGTCCTAAATGGTCCTTTTCTCATGTGTGTGGCATTTGAAAGTCGGATTCATTCAAGTGAATCGGTTCATAGTAAACGGTCCCTTCTCTCATGTGTAGCGTTTGAAAGTCCAATTCATTCTAGTGAATCGGTTTTTCCTAAACAGACCTTTCTCTCATACGTAGCCTTTGAAAGCACGATTCATTCTGGTGAACTGGTTCAGTGGTTGTTCATCAGATGAGGCATAGGGACGCTGAGCAAAACACTGAAGCTGATAAAGTTAACTTTTTAATCAGTTTACCCACTGAAGTGCATAGCATGTATTTGTGTATTTTTTTTATTGTGCATAGCGTGTATTTTTCTATTTCTATTTTTTAATAGATGTTAGCCCATGCAAAATTTTAAATACATAAATTCGGCGTCTCTCACGAAACTGACCAATCAGAATTAATATTCAAATAACGCAACGTTGTTGGCAAACTGCGGCTGAAAAAGACTCAATGCTAAAGGAGTTACTAAAAGTTACCAGTCGTAAGTTAGCTTTTATTATCGCATTAGTGTATCATCAAACTCGCAGGTGCAAAGAAACCTCAAAGTTAGGCAAAATATCAATTAAACAAACGAACGAATGATCAGAAACGGGGCACTTTAGCCTACATTTGCCATAATGAAGAAGTGGATAATTGAGAGCGCTTGCGCATAGGTGAGTAGACGTTAGAATGGGGCTCTCCCACTGATCTATATATAATGACTATTATAGATCAGTGGGCTCCCCGTTCATGCGTAAATGTTTATATTGGTTAAAGTATGTAACGCTGCGTTTTTTGTTTGTTTGTTTTTTATGTACTATACTGACATAAATTGTGTTGGTGATAGGAGAGATTACAAGTTTATAACGAGTCAGTTTTTACAATTTTAAGATATCAGGGGATGTCACGTCAGAGTTACACAGAACAATCAAAGCAATGCAAAGCAAATAAGCAATACATACATATAATGTAGGAAGACTGTAGAGAGGACGTCAGTAGGAAAACAAAGCTAAATAGGGTGTTTATGTTTTATTTATATAAACGTACCTCTTCAAATTGAACACTGTTACCTTAATTTATTGTGAGCCCCTCATTGTTTTATGCCATCTAAATGTTAAATTATTAATGGTCGTAGTTTTATTTATAAAACATTTTGTTTGTATTTAGTACAATACCAGTCAAATGCAGAGCATAAAATTACAGAGCACTATTTAACAGTTCAGAGAATTTGAGATAAACAAAAACAACAGAGTGAGAATTAAAAAATTGCTTAAGTAACTTTAGTGCTAGTTTTGTTTATCTGCTTCAAAGTACAATTAGATTGTAGCATGGCAAACTACAGCTGAGTAGCCGTTTATCAAATTAATGGACATAAGTGCATTTCATTAAGATCTGATGGCTTTATTATTATATTATATGCTCTTCAGTTAAGGACCGTCATGTACTTGACAACACGTGG